GACAATGAACAATAGGGGCTAGTGGGATCTGGCCCTTAGGTGCAAAGGCTATCAGACACTCCCAATGTAGGGTAGGTGGGAGGCAAAGGGGTGCTGCAGGGACTGGCACTGCCGGTGTTTCCCCCCGCCAGCAACGCCTTTCCCAATATAGCTTCTCTCTTGCGCCTGATCGCACAGAAGTGAGTCGGAAAGGTGGGCCGCAGGCCCGCACACGACGGGAAAATTGAGGTCGGGCGGAACCGCTTCGCCAAAATCTAGGCGAGGAAAAGGACTCGACCTAAGAGGGACCTGACTCATGTGTGGCGTGCACGCAGGTTCGCGTTCGCGATGAATGCTGCGGGCAGCCGGGGCCTTGAAGGCGCAGCGCGGGAAAGCACACAAGCCATTGTGGCTGGTCAGGCACCCGTAACTTATACAGTCATGGGCCAGGGCAGCGGGACAGGGAGGGTCAGCGAGGCCGTTCTCCAACATGGATAAGTTCTTCAATACTCAGACAATTGCACAATTGCCCCTCGGTCCCTGATGTCTGCAGACCTTGGATTGATAAGATCGATGGTTGACGACCGAGGTGGAGATGAAACTAAAAAAACAACCGCCACCTCTGCTGGTCCCAACCGAGTTAACCAATGTTGTTAATGTTGTAGGCCGAGGATCCTTTCTTGAAGCATCTGATCCGTAGGAATTGAATTCGGCATCAGGGTTGAAAATAGGCATAATGTCGGTTAGTTGGTGTTCACAGGTAGTGAAGGGGCTCGTTCCACACCACTCGAAACTCAAGGGTTTCTTGCCCAACACGGTTCCACAGTGCCCTTGAGTTTCGCTAATCACCGGCGGGTCGTCATCAGATTTTCGGGATTATCAAATGGGCGGAAAGCTGTCAAGGGCGGCTCAAGCGCTGCCCAGGCAAACGAGGTGATTTTTCAAGTGACCTCTCAGGCCACACTTAAGCTGCCCTTGAGAAGTGTGCAAGCGAGCGGCGCGAGCGATTTCTGGTACGTGTAGAACCCCCCGATGTTTTTTTTTCCCCGTTTACTCTCCTTTTCCTAAGGCCATTGGCCTGGTTGAACCTATTGCTAGCTGTTCCCGCTCATTTCAAGGGCGGGCTCAAGGTTTGAGTGGAACGAAACGTGACTCATATATTTTTTAATCACTTTTGCAACTCGAGTGCGCACTCGAGTTTCAAGTGAAGTGAAGTGGTGTGGAACTTGGCCCAAAGAGTAGAGAGACTTGAGGAGATGAAAAAGTGGAAAAAACTTCAAAAAAGTGATGATGGACTTAGAGATGAAAATGACGATTAGCCATCGAACCCGGGGGCACCTATATCCAGTCAGGCCTTTCACCCTGATAGGACGTAGGTTATATCCACGGCTGGTGTTATGAAAAAGGACAAAAAGAGCCCCTGAGGACTACATTGGCACCATGGGTCTCATTCAACACCACTGACAAAACTCTAAAATTATAAGGCCTTGTTGTTATCCCAAGTCGGAACAAGGGTCTTGTTGGACAACCTGCACCAGGGGGTAGTACTCGGGTTACTCAGTGGGTAATAACAGGGTGACACTACCTTCTTCACCCGAATACAATGTACGGTGATTATGGACCGAAAGATGCTCCAAATACATCTATAATGACCGTACGTTGTATTCGGGGGAAGAAGGTAGTTAGAACTCATAGGGTGTTCCACACACAAAATCTTTGAGGCCATTCCAGTTCAGGGCCTGCCACAGGGTCGGTTGAGGAACAATGTCTATGCCTAGCAGTCGAAGTTTCCATGTGACAGGGCTCGTTGGAGCATGCTTCAACTAGGGCTGAATAGGTGCCTCAGCATTGGTGCCTGCGACCATTGTCATGTCTGCCCATCCCACTTGAAAGGGGTGGGGTGGATGCTGTGAATGGTAGACACTAAGGTAGGACTGAGGAAGTAGGGTGCGCTATGGAGACCAAGAGGAGGCGGGTGGGGTTCCGATGAAAGAACCTATAGTAATTGTCTACCGCGTGGGTACGGGGAACGCAGCCCTAAGGGTAGATATAAGGTTTTGAAAGTTGAATAGAAAGGGGGGAGAGAGAGAGGGAGGGGCGGCTGGGGGGAGGATGTGTGTCCCTTTTGGTGCAGCCTTCGTGCCGCAAACACAGATGTTCGGACCAACCATACCTCAGCTTTAGGGTTATGGATTGTGAGTCTGGACCAATAAGCCGAAGCAGTGGGGCTAAGTCACGTGCGCAAGAGACACACACACACACACACACACAGAGGGAGAGAGGGAGAGAGAAAAAATGAGAATGAATTTTTTGGCGAACGCAAAAAGATTCATTCTCGTTTCTTCGCAGAAAAGCGCCCTGGAGAGAGAGAGAGAGAGAGAGAGAGAGAGAGAGAGAGAGAGAGAGAGAGAGAGAGAGAGACAAACAGACAGACAAACGGCGTGTTTGCTGCGACGCGAACGCGCCGTGATGAACGCACGTTCTCTCTCTCTCTCTCTCTCTCTCTCTCTCTCTCTCTCTCTCTCTCTCTCTCTCTCTCTCAGTTTGTGAGCATACCTCTCTCTTTCTCTCTCTCTTGCAGTTTGTGAGCATACCTCTGTGTGTGTGTGTGTGTGTGTGTGCGTGTGCGCATGCGTTCTCGTTTTCTTTATGTTTTTTGGTTATTTGGAGGGCTCATTCTTCTTTTTTTCTAATGTTTTTTGTTTTCATTTTTCCTTTTGATGACATACGTGAATTTGACCGCCTTTTCTGTAGCTACCGGGGCGTTGGACTTGGCCGGCCCCCAATAGCTGGGGCGCGTTAACGAGCAAAGCCGTGACCCGTATATGGCCCGAGTACTGGTGGTTTAATGATTTTCTTTGAATTTTTTCTGATATTTTTCCTGGAAAGACCACGACCTAATCTACGGATTCTCAAATTTTCAGATTTTTCTGCAAATTTCTCTTAGCACAACAAATCGTCGAAGTTGCCTCTTGCAAATTGCAGGACTGGACCCGCCGTTACCCCTTTCGTAAACCATACCGATCCTCCGATTTTGCTACGAAGTACCGGTTCTAGAAGCGTTAGTTGTCGGTCCTCCACAAATCGAAATCGACAAGGACCGGTCCCCCAACACTTCTTACCCCAAAATAACCCACTTGTTAGCTAGTTGCTCGCTGCAAAAAAATGTGACACCTTGACACGGACGCCGAAGCCCACTATACCGCAGCCTTAGGGCTGCGAATAATGAGGTATATAGGTAAGGGGTCCTTCCCCTATATTTTGTAATCCTGTTTTTTTTCGTGGGAGATCAGGTTGTTATTATCGTTTTTAAAAACTCATCTTTTTAGCAAGGCAACCAATCTAAAAACCTTCTAACTTTACCCATACAATACTTAGGTCATGTGCTAGCTTTGACTTCATAATCCAATATTGATATCTTGAGTATCATATTGGAAAGAGGTGTGCTCATGAACTGCAAGTACTTCATGAAGGAGCCAGGTGCTTTCAACTTTTATCTTCTAAACCAAATTAAACATTAACAAAGTTTTACCAAAAAATCCAATTTATTAGATTTTTTTTAGTCCCAGCAGGTTATGATTCCACAAAGGAACCTGATTAGCAAACTGGTGTTTGCTATTGGAGGATGCTCGTATCACCTCCAATAGCAGGCTTGCTATTGGAGGATGTTTTGTCAAAAGAAGAAAAAAAAAAAACATGCAGTGGTGTTATACAGTTTAATCCGATTGAAAATTGATTTGAGTTTGACAATGCATGTGTGCACAATCTACCTGATAATGGTCTAATCAGCTAAGCATGTTGTTGTAGTTTTTAGTGTCCGAGATCTCTATAATATTCAAAGTTTTTTTTTTTTTTTTTTTTTTTGACCATTTATCGATTTGTGCGTGTCATCCTTGCACAGGAGCCATGCTAATCTTCTTTCTCTGTATCGTTCCAATTTTAACGGATGTCCCAAAGGCCTATTCAAACTTATCAGTTCACACATCCAAACCATTTTCACATGCAGCAGCATACTACACAAAAATGAGTTGGGTAAAAAAATATACATAAAATCATTTTTCCCGTGAAATAGCCGCTGCACTGATTCGACGCATTTCCATTTTGCCACTCTACCATGTGTCAGCTAACAGAAGAAGTATGGCAACTTTGGTGTTTTTTTTTTTTTTTTTTTTTTTTTTGGCGTCCGGTTTCGACAAGTCCTGGCCAATACCCGAACTTTCAGGAGGCCGAGTGCGACGTTGATCAATCTGACCGACGACCGTCGTTTCGTTTCGGCCTCCTGAAAGGTCGGAGGCCGAGTATTTTCGAACCGACAAAGGTACTGGTGGTTTAAAGGCTAATTCTTTTAGCCCAACCAATTCAATTACCTGTCAAATTTGGACAGGACGGCCTTGTAGGCCTTTTTTATTGTCATTATAGTATTACGGGGAACCCCGTAGCAGCCACATCCGTGCTCAAGCCTCCAACGAGGGAACTGCGGGAGTTGCACCCACCAGCAGGTGCGATACCTGCTACAGCAGGTGGGCAATACCAGCCAGGGGTCAGGCGGTAGCATCAGGACCGAGCTTCTTCGATGGGCCAGTCACTGTGCCTCCCCTCCGGTCCCCTCCCCCTAAGAACATCAGCACTCTCTGCTGAATGCCACTCGGGGGGACCAACGACATATCTCTAGGTGCCGGGCGCCAAGCTTGCCCAGGAAGGTGCATGAGGTCAATGGGGATTGAACCCAAAACCTCATGAATGCCACTTGGGTGCCTTACCAACTGAGTTTTTTTTTTTTTTTTTTTTTTTTTTTAATCAAGCTAATTATATTAACCTGAAGAGGCCGGGGACCTCACAATTCAACCCGGGGGTATCTGACAGCATCAGCCAGCTTAGCTTACAGGCCTTAGCCTGTTGAAACTAAAATCTGCTAATTTCCTGTCTCTAATTCAATTTTCGACCTAAGCTATAATTGGTTGTGAGACCCTGTTGCTGCAGAGCCAGCTTGTCTTGAGAAAAAGTTGTAGCGCGGAATTAAGACTTGCTTTCTTGATTGATTGTGACCGGAGCCTTTGGAACCAGTAACCGGTAACTGCTATATTTTTACTGGGCTATCTAAGCTATCTAAATTTTACTACATCTGGGACTATCCCGGCCCATAGGACCCCGGTTTGGTCCGACCCTACTCACACTCACCTACTGGCCCACTGCGGCCCTATAGAATTGAGTGTATCTGGTTCCTGCACGGGGTACCCCTATTGAGTGAAGGTGGCCCCACAAAGTGCCCTGGTGATGGTCCTCCTGAGACCCAATGCCCTCCTAGCTATTTGGGACTGTTTTCCCATTCAAAATCCACTCTGCGAACACGAGCTCCCCTGAAGAGTTCACTGTGACCAGTTGATCGCTCCTAGCCCTTGTTCTTCTGAACCATGTCCTCTGAGCTCCGTTTCCCACTCCTGACTTCACTTTCCTCCTCCAGTCGACGTTAATGGCTTGTTTCACTCCCATCTTGATCCTCCTCTTGATTTCCGTGTCTGAGAGTGTTTTCTTCTCAAATATCATCTTGTTCCTGTCCACCGAGATGATTTCACAGATGATTCCCCTTACCACATGGGCTATGTAACCCCAGCCTTCCTTGCCCTTCTCGCTTGCCAAGTTTGCTGGGAGAAAGCCCAGAATCACCCACTCCTCATTCCACTCCGCTCCTTCTCCTCCCATCTCTTCCCATTGCTGTTTCCACCAACCCCAGATTCGTTTGGACGTAGGGCACTCCCACCATAGGTGCCTTGTTGATTCGAAAGGCCAGTTGCAGCGATTGCAGATCAGCTCCACCCCCATCCCTCTACTCAGTAACCACGTGGCTGACGGAGTTACTGCCATAGAAAGAAGCTAGAGAATGCTCACCTGACGGCCATTTGGCAGGCTGGTGAGAATTTTCCACAAGTTGTTGAACTGCAGTTTTGACTCCTGTATGTTGATACCCAACATCGCCTGCCACCTGTTCGCTGCTATCTGTGCCGGTGACCTTTGAGACTTTGCGGAGATGGCATACCCTGTGCTCACTGAGTAGTCATGGAGTGGGATGATCTTCGTGTCTGACTGTGGCCTCCAGCCCCATGCTTGTGGATCAGTACTTAGTTTCATGAGTGGCACCCGGCCAATCCACGTGGCAATTCTTGAGTGTTCCTTGGTCCTTAGCATCTCAGCTACCTGGATTTATGGTGGGTTTTACCATACCATCACTGTTTCCAGATCTAGGAAAACCAGCCTGTTTGAGTGCTTCTCGCTTCTCCATCTCTCAACCCTTCTGAACCCGCTGTCCAAAATTGTTGTTACTTTCCAAACTACCTCTGGATCTTGTTCTTCTGCTGCATAATACCAAGTTCCCAGTGGGTCTACTCCCTCCGGTCCTAGCAGCGTCATCCAGTCTCTTGGTATTGCCAGTTGGAGTTCGTTCTTGTGAACCTTAATACTTCTTAGGCCCTGCAACTCACCCTTGACTTCGTCCTTCGATCTCCATCCTCCCAGAAGTGTAGACCATAGGTCCTTTATGCGTACTATTCCCTTCCGCATCCATGCCAGCCCGAACGAGCCGGTTGAGCCGTCTGCCTTGAAAGCATTTCCTATGTGGTCCTGGATCAGCGGGTTCTCGAATAGATTTTGTAGGAGTACTTCTTCCTTCGTTCGTGGCGGGTTCTGCGCATCCGGTGGAGACTTGTTCCACGCCTTCCTGATCGCGTTCCAAAATTTGGACTTCAACCTCTTTTTCCTGAAAGATTCCATGAAAAAACAGGTCCATGTATCTTCCGGACTGATAAGACCCCATTCCTGCATGAGGATTCTCTCTGCTAATTCCACCCAGTGCTCCTTCGAGTTCGCGCTGGCCACTCTGCATATCCATGCCCGAAGTTGAGCCTGATTCCTTCTGGTGGGGTCCATGAGTCCCAGGCCTCCTTTCTCGCGCAGAAAAGTGAGGATTTTCCATGCGATCTTCACCAGAAATCCCTCATTCTGATTTGCCCTTGGTTTCCACAGAAAGCGTGCCACCATTCTGCGAATGACTATGAGGACACTTTCCGCCAGTTCCCTTACCGCTGATACGAACCAAAGAGTGGAGAAGAGAGTTGCATTAAAGACCAGTGTTCTTCCTATTATTGAAAGATGCCACGCCGTGCCCCACAGTTGAAGCTTAGCTGCAATTCGGTGTTGTAACAACAACCCTTGAGCCGTTGAATCTACTTGGAGGCTAATCAATACGCCCAGGAAACGCTCCTCCTCTCCTTCCTCCACCCTCTTCATTCCCCATTCTCCTCTAAGTCTGTAGGCTTTTGGCAGCAGGTAGGTCGACTTGTTCCAGTTTACCGTAGCTTCGGACAGGGTTGAGTACTCTGCCATAGCTTCCTTCATTGCCTTCAGCGCTCCTTCTGTGTTCTCACATACTGCGAAAAGATCATCTGCAAGGGCTTTTACCCTCAATTCTGCACCGCTGGCCGATTGTAAACCTCTGATCTCTGGATGCCTCCTTATCCGATTCAGTAGCACCTCCATTTGCAGTACAAACAACAGCGGGGCGAGGGGGCATCCCTGCCGAAGGGACCGTGATAGCTTGAAAGGGGCGGATAGATGCCCGTTGATCATGACGGCCGATGTTGCTGCAGTGTACATCACTACCACCCATCTGCAGAAACCCTCCCCAAAACCCACCTTATCATATGCCTTTTCCAGATCAACGAGAGGGACTGCTATGTCCAGGTTCTCCGACTGCACTATTTCTAGCACCTCAATCGCTGTAATAATGTTGTTGAAGATCGATCGACCTTGGACAAAGGCTCCTTAGTCGCCCACTACCAAATCCGACAGGTGTCTAGCCAGTCTCCTTGCTAAAGTTTTAACGAGTATCTTGTAGGACACGTTCAAGAGGGAGATTGGACGCCAGTTTCTGACGTTTGTTTTGTCGCCTTTCTTGAACAGCACTGAGATGACCCCGTGTGTCATTCCTCTGCCTAAGCCCTGACCTGACAGTGCCTCATTATACAACTTTACCAGCGCTGGTCCGACCGTTTCCCAATTCATGGCATTAGATTTCCACCGTCAGTCCGTCTATCCCCGATGATTTCCCCCGGGGCCATCGTCTTCAAGGTCTGAGTGGTTTCCTCCATAGTGATTGGTCTGTCCAAATCTAACTTGAACTTCGCCGTATTGGACAGAGCCACTGTGGTGTCTGATCACATGTCCGAAACTTCTGTCAGGTCGCTGTTGGGATCCTCGAGTGGTCGGCGTGATGTGAGGATGTCTTCGTAGTAGAGTTTTGCATAGGAGAGCATTCCGGAGGCTGATGCGGCTTGTGAAGCATCCTTGTTGAACGGGTGGGGCGCAATTCTGTCATTTGTTGTTGAAGCCGTCTTGCTTGCAGACGTTTAAAGGTCTCCTTGGTCATCTTGTCGTGAACCTCAATCCCTTTTTCCTTGAGAATCTCAGTCCATCCGCGTTCCTTCTCTACTTGCATACTTTCTCATTCCGCCAGCCTTTTCGCCCTTTTTTTTGCCCATACCAAGGTTGAAATTGGATGGCCCTCCATTCTTTCCTCTGCTACCTCCACCCCTTTCTGGCACACCGCTTCCTTCTGATTCCTTGTCTTGGCGTTGTTTGGCTGACTCCCAACTCTTCATGTGATTATCCAACCATTTAGCAATACCTGGATCTTCGAGGATCTGTGAGTTCAACCTAAAAAAACCTCTTCCTCATTCTACCCCCGCATGCAGTTTCACTTCTGCTATGACCGTCTTGTGGTCCGACATAGGGTGGCAGATTTGCTGAACTGCTGTGACTGACTCCAGCGCCTGACTGGATACTAGAAAGTAATCCAGTCTTTGTTTTGTCACTGTTCCTCGATCACGATGTAAGTGTGACATCCAAGTGTAGCCCGCCTCCTCCGGAGAGATCAGTCTGAACGGATCTGACAATTCTAGCTCTGTTGTAACATCCAACAGTGTTCTCACATCCTTCCTGTTCGCTGATTGTGAGTCTGGTTTCAGTGCTTCATCAAGGGACAGGTTCCAATCCCCTGCCAGGATTAACATGTCAACCTTGGGAATGTGAAGCATCAACCCTGCGAAGGACCGTTCCCTTCTGTCTGTGGGTGCGTAGACCGTCATGACAGCCCACTCCTCGTTCCCTACAGCGAACCTGACTCATGCCCATCTTCCCCACATGTCTGCCTCCTGATCTAGACTCCTCACTTGGAGGTCTCTATGTAGGAGGATACCCACCCCTCCTCTTGTTCCTTGAGCGGGGCCCCGCACTTGTGGGCCTTCCCACCAGTCTCCTAAGGTTCCGAGCTTCTCCTCGCTCAGCTTGGATTCCTGAATCAGCAGGCAGTTAATTTTCCATTCATGAACCCAGCTCTTCACCCTTCTCCTTTTAGCCCTCTCTCCTAATCTCCTCACGTTCCATGTTGCCATTTTTTAGCCTATCCATGGGTGTCAATGGCCTCCGCTTGCTGTTGGATGCGGGATGATTCTCCCTGCGGCCTCATGTCGGCTGCAGCTACTTCCATTCTGTAATTACCTTTTGACAGTCTCTCTCGAGCTGTTCCTGGAGCTGCCACGTGACGACGCCGTTCTGGACACGGACCCCCACTCGTTAGAGAGCTTTATGAGAAAAAATTTCGACTGCAGGTTCTCCTCCGGCTCCCCTCGTCGTCTTGATTCGAGTCCGATTTGGCCGCTGTGAATGTGTGCACTACCTTGTTGATGATCCCCTGGATATGTTCCCGTTGGTCCATCGTGTTGCTGTCTGTAACCATTCTGATTCCCTCCCCTTTGTGTTCCACTTCTCTCCTCTTCCCTTCTCTCTGCTTTTGGCCTGTTCGACTCGTTCGTTCTCCGTTCTTCCCCTGTCCGTTGCAGGTTTTGCAGGTGCTGCTGGAACCGGGCTCTGTGTCCGCCCTGTCTCGCTCCTCCCTCCCTCCTTCTCTCATCTTCCTGTCTTACCCTCGGACAATTTTCCTCTGAGTGAAAGTACCACTTACACCGGCAACACCAGTCAGTGTACGGTGTTGCAATCTCCACCTTCCAACGTTCCCCTTTAGGAGATTCGATTACTAAGTCGTCATCCACCAGGTATCTTGCTGCAGGGTCAAGATCCAGCTTTACGCTCATCAGTTTTGGCCACGAAGGGTCGAATTCCGGGGGTTGCATCTGCAGTACTGCTCCAAACATGTTAGTGACAGCACTTCTGAGGTAGTAATACGCGTCCAGCGGCACCCTCAAGGCCACAATCCAGAACTTCGTTTCAGCCTCTTGGAGGCGTATCTGTTTCAACTCTTGAACAATGTTGTGTATTCCTTGTTTTGCCGCTCCAGCTTGGCTTCTCCTTGATTGATCAACCATACAGCAACCTCCCTTGCTTTTGACACATATGATATGACATTTGGTCCTTCGAATCTCACTCTTCCCCGTTTAACATCTGGATTGAATAGTCTCCGGGAGAACCACCCGTCCTCATAGGCCCTGATCAAGTCTTCCTTCACTTGTCTCGATAGGTTTCTTGCCTCGTCTTGAAAGATCATGATGACGGTACGTTCCTTGAGCCAGCATTCCTTGATCTCATCAACTGCCCCGTCGACTACAAACCGTTTACCTTCCATATCCACCACTACTACCCCCAGGTCTGTCTCCTCAGGGCAGATCCCTTCATCATAGCAGCGTCCCACTGATTCCCTGATACGTGCTTGGGCCTCTCTTCCTCGTAGCATAGGAGGTCTGTAAGGTCCTTGTCCTCCTCCTTCCCCTTGAGCAGCCATGATTTCTAATTAGATTGGGTAATCTGACTAATCTGTGCTCGAAAGCTGCGATCTTTGCCCTTATCCCGATGGATGCTCCCCGGTCACAGCCACACCCAGCGTTATGCAGCTACTAGACTTATAGATTTTATGACATTGCTCCCGCTTCTTAGCGAGGTGTAGCCCGCGCGCGCATTCTGGTACCAACGGTATGGCAGTCTCCCGGACTAGGTGTCGGGATGAGCGATCTTAGCGTCTTCCCAGTTCCCGTTCCCCTCTCGGCCCAAGTCTCATCCGCAGCTCTCCTGCACCGATGATTCCTCGCTCTAAGGATTTCACACCGGAAATACGAGTTAAAGATTCCCGGTCGAGAGTCGCACCCTGCACTCAGTACATACCCTGTTTCCTTTTCTTTGAGGAGAGGACGGCCGATTCTGAGTACTATTTTCCGGATCGAATACGAAAGCCTCCCTGATGTTCTTTTACCGATTGGCCACGGCCTCGGGTACCATGTAATTCCACGGCCTCTTAGTTTCACTCGTAGATCCCTACCTCTCCGGTCTAGATTGGGGCGAAAGGGAAAAACCACCAAGTCGAAGATGAAAGTGAATTCTCCGCCTTGCCAATCCTTAACTCTGATTGTGTATTGAGGGAGAAAATAAGTGCGTAAGGGGACTAAGATTTTACTTTACAGGTGAGCTTCCGCACCGACCCAAGGAATACGGAGAATACATCCTCCGTCAGTTTCTTACTTGTCTGGCTGTACTCTCGTTCACTGCGGCCTCCGCCAAATACCCAGATCCCCAATTCCCGTTTCCCTCTCGTCCCACACCAGACATACAGACCTCCAGACCCGACAATCCCTCATTATTACGGAATTACCCTGTTATCCTTCCTTTGAGGAAAGGACGACCGCTTTTTAACTGTTGTTGCCCGATTGGACCAGATAGCCCACCGCTTGTTTCTTTACCGATTGGCCGCGGCCTCGGGTAAAGTGTGTACTCTGTCTCCTAGATCCTCCCTTAGATCTCTACCTCTCAAGCCTAGATTGGATATGAAGAAAATTCCGCTGAGAAGAGAGAAGACAGTAGATTTCCGGCCTTACCAATATTAATTCTGATTGGGTGTTGAGAGAGGAGTTACGTGCGTAGGAGGATTAGAGTTTTACTTTTCTGGTGGTCACCGGCTCCGACCCAAGGAGAACTGAGGATAATTCCATGGCCGACTCTTACCAATCTGGCTGAGTTCTCGTTCACTGCAGGGTTTCCCTAGGGTGTAGGTGACTTTCCTGGTCCGGCACCCTATGTACCACCCTTGACACGCTCAGAGAATATCATACTCATGTTTGCATTCCGTGCTTGGGAGCTGTGGCTATGGCTAACCCTACTCTGCCTACCTAAGGACTGCTTTGCCAGGGCGACGCGTTGAGGTTTCACCTCCACCCTCAATGCGGGGCGTGCGTGTCCTTCCTCCTGCTCCTCGTCTCGGCGGCGAGGTCCGCAGGTAAGCAGCGCTGCGCGAAAAACAACCGACGCGCAGCGACGCAGTTACCGGAGCGCTATTAGCCCGGTACCTGTGCTCCCCTCGGGCCGAGACTGCCAACTGAGCTTTTCGTGCTCAGAAGAATTGACAGAAAATTCTAAAAATTGTACGGTCTGTAGATTGGGTCCTGATCTTCCCAGGAAAAAAAAAAATATCAGGGAAAAAAAAAAAAAAAAAAAAAAACATTTTGCCCGCCAAATAATCGCCACGTCAATTCGGCATATCTCCCTTTTTTGACACTCTGGAACCAAGACCAGGCCCCACACTGACCTACCGGTAGGCCATGTGCCTGTTTGGAAAAACGGTAGGAAAAACGGCCTACCGGTCCCCCGACTTTCTGAAGGCGGGTAGAGGGGTGGTTTAAGAAAGCATCAACCTAGCCGCATAAACTGTCAGGTTCATGCCTTCTAGGCACGAACACAGCACAAGCAGGACCTGCCCCTCAGGGTCAGTCCACTACTGCTTTGCTTTATTTCTGCTGGCTGCATAAACTGTCAAGTTCGAACTCTTTCTTGGTACCAACATAGCACATGCGGGGCCTGCCCCTTAGGGTCAGGTGCACTGTTTATTAGTTCCAGCTACCGTCTTCACCCAGCACCTGGTAATTATTGCCGTATCCGGACTGAAAGTTGCACCAAATACAGCTATAATGACCGGGCGTTCTACTCGGTGAAGACGGGTCAGCTTACACCAATCGGGTCATTTTGCAGACAAGGTTCCTGCTTGCCAAACACACCTGCAGCTCCATCACACATATTCCTTTGCTGTTTTCCCCTGTGTTAAAATACTAAGGGTATTAATTAATTAACTTGACCCTCAGTTCCCGAGAATCAAAGCACTTGCTGCTCACTCACCTAACAGAGCAAGGTATTTTCATGGCATCTTTAATTTGGCTTCTATAAAGGTATTGAAGGGCATGTTGCCACATGCACATGCCAAGCACCCCCCCCCCCCCCCCCCCCCCCCCCCCCCCCCCCCCCCCCCCCCCCCCCCCCCCCCCCCCCACACACACACACACACACAGAGAGAGAGAGAGAGAGAGAGAGAGAGAGAGAGAGAGAGAGAGAGAGAGAGAGAGAGAGAGAGAGTTGTTGAGAAGAAGACTGCCGCTTATATTCACATTCCCACCTTTAGCACACAACGTGTACTATTGGTCCATGGGTCGGTTAGAATGCCACGCCACAGGCATTTTAACGGAGCTAGGTAACATGGCCTGTTCTTTTCTCTTATACACATCTTCGTGCAGTTTAATGGATGTATCCCTGCGCTGTAGGGCATCCGCGAAAACATCCAAGGCCCAATTATACACATCATCAAAGGTGACCTTGCTGCCACTTCTGATCTTCGCCCGCTCGCGGCCAATTCTGCTCTCGAACGGGGTGCGAGGTCGAAGCTCCTGCATCTGCTTCCATCGGTCCCTCGTCATCGGCGGTGTCTTCTTGCTCTCCTCCATGAGCTCTCGCGCTTTTTTCTTCACTCTCTCTGGCTCCTGAGTCTCCTCATACATCATCATCAGCTTAGCAGCCACAGCTACTGCTGCTGCAGCTGCACCTAGCTGCATGGATGAGAATCTTGACGGCTGATAAAGTGGTGACCCCCGAGGAAGAGACCGCGGTGCAGCCATTTCCCCCCCCCGAGGAACAGCAGAAGCCGCCGCCGCAGCAGCAGGAGGAGGAAAGGCCCCTCCTGCTGCTGACACACCCTTTGCCACATGGCTATGGTGGATGCTTCTGCTGCTACCAGAGCCCTGCAGTGGCGACCACAGGGAAGACATACCTATGCTGCGTGATGCGGCGGCTTCTTTTTTTATTGATGTCCACACAATCTTCTCCCTGAAGATACAACACCACCTCTCCCCTCCAGCGCTGCCTTGCTTCTGCAATCAACAACTAGGAGACTCGACTCCCACACAACATGTGCAATCAACTCAAAAGCACCTCCACCTCGACCTCCACCTCCACCTCTGTATGAAGCTCTCTACGACCAGCCACCCCTGGAATCCTTTTCCACCTAAGGCACTTCAAAATTCCAGCATCTGATCCTGCCAGCTTCTTTTCAACTGTATATCCAGCTCCGCAACACCTTCCCGTGCCACTTCATCTACTGAATGCAAACACAGTTGTGTGTACGTCGCCTTCGGTCGATAAAAGGATTGCCCACTTTGTGTACGTCGCCCTCGCTCTGTCACCTTGTCAGCCTTGAGTTTTTGATATACTGGCAATCTTCATCTCCACGTCCGCCACAAGATCCCACACATGCAAATCATAAAACAAGTAAAGCCAGTGCGGCTAAGCTCGCCCACATGGAAATATCAATGAGATATCTGCGGCCTAGGCCTACGTAAGTATGCATCTACAAATCTCATGGTCCATAAGTCTCTCTCTCTCTCTCTCTCTCTCTCTCTCTCTCTCTCTCTCTCTCTCTCTCTCTCTCTCTCTCTCTCTC